GACAAGTTAGGTTTGCAGAAACACAAATTAATTCAAGAAATTAACTTGCTAGAATTCTACATACTACCTGTTGCAAAGAAACTTGGAACAGCAAAAAGCCCTTGTGCAGATATGCTATACATAATAAAATTCCCACGTTGAGCACATATCAGTGGTCTCTTGAAAAAATTGTTCTACTTTTAAAACCATTCGAAGAAATTACTGTGGAAACCAGCAACCAAGAAACCACCTCATCTTCAATAATTCACACAATAGAGACTCTGAAATTATTCTTATTATCAAAAGTAAAGAGCAGTAGTTCCTTTAGTGGCATTAATACCACAATAGAAGGACTAGAAAATTCAATATAAAAAGATTTTCAGCATATATAGAAAACAAATCTTTATGGTTGTCATCCTTATTAGATCCAAGATTCAAAATTAAATTTCAGAAAAAAAGATGGTAGAGGAAATAAAAAGATGGACAATCAATTGCTTAGATGATGATGATAATTCAAAATCTCAAGAATTAAATTCTGAAGCTTCTACTTCTGGAGACGATCAAGATGGAGGATAATCTGAGTTTTTCTAATTTATTTGATGAATTAGCTTCTAATGAACAAAAGAATGAATAAGAGCATCTTTTTAAAAAGAAATAAAAAACGAACAAACGTTTTGATCAAGAATTAGAAAAATATTTACATTTACCTCTTACACAAAGACATAGCAACCCATTTTTGTGGTGAAGTTCAAAATAATTTTTTCCTAATTTGAGCAAGATAGCTATGAAATAGAAATATCTAAGTTCCCCAGCATCTTCCATTAAAAGTGAAAGAATTTTCAGAGTTGGAGGTAACATTTAAGAGCCCTGAAAATGGTGAAATTCTCATGTTTTTGTATTACAGTTTAAGGGTTTTAAAGTTTGAATATTAAATTTTTTATTTGTTTTATATATTTAAAGTTTAAACTTTAAATAAAACAGATAGTTTTGAATAGGTTACATTATACCTTATGATGTGTATTGATAAAAGAAACGATTTAAGTTAAATTTTTTTTTTATATTTAGATTGTCATGTAATAAATAATAAATATATAACAGAAATTTATTATTTTTTTACTAGTGTTATATGTGACATGCTAACAAAAATATTAAAATGCAAAATTGGCTGATTATTAAAACCGATTAATCGGGAAAATGGCCAATATGGCCGATTACCGATTACTTACCGATTAATCGATGCATCCTTATTATATATAACAGCTGGAAAAGTAAAAATTATTGAATACATATTTATATATTGACTATATCATTACTTAGAAGAGTATTTTAGCTTTGAAATAAAAAAGTTTCTAGGTTTTATCTTTATTAGAACTATATTTATTGAAGCTTATATTCTGAGGTCACATGACTTCAGAATTTTTGGTCTACTTTGTTATTTATATTTAGAATATTAATAATATGCATTTTTGTTCTTTCTTTATCCATTCAATAAATTTACTTAAAACATTGTAACTATATTATATTTAGAACATTTTAAGTAAATTTATTAAATGGATAAAGAAAGAACAAAAATCCATATTATTAATGGATACCAAAACATCTATATGCATATTAGATATCTTGCTGTACTTTTAGCTATCTTACATCATGTGCATATTATGTATATACAGTAATACCTCGACTTACGCGAACCTGGAGTTACGCAATTTTCAAATCTAGTCGATTTGTATCTTGTTTGAACGCCACGCAACTCTCGATTACTCATTCCCCCCACACTATTGTTCAGCTTACATGTTCGGACATGTCGCGTGGAATCAATGCATAGCTACAATTTATTTTGTGTTATTTATTTCTGTGTTTGTTATATCTACGGAGACTTGAGAGACTCTATGTGGTGATTTCTTGTAACCATGAACGAATCAAAAGACAAGATAAGATTAACGAGTACATTTATTAGCTTACATACATTTGACTTGGATTTTACACAAATTGCGAAATTATACCCTGACTTACACGAATTTGACTTATGCGGTTATCGCTCGGTCCCACCTATCGTGTAAGTTCGGGGTATTACTGTATATAATAAATACTGTATATATATTTCGATATAACATGGTCTGCTCGAAGCCTAAAAAAAGTGCTGATTCAAATTATCGTGGCATTTCATTGATTATTCCCAAACACGAACCAATCAGCAAAAGGTGGCAATTCGTTGTAGCGCTGTACTTTCCATAAATCTATGTTTGTTTGATGCAATTTTGGAAAAAATATAACATTATGGATGCCATAGACAACATTGACTTTGCTTGGCAAGAATTAACTGATAAATGCATGAACGAAGTGTGGAAGAAGTTATGGCTGAAGTTATCCAAGAATTCTCAACAAGAGCCTAATTGATACAGCAGGACTAGGAGATGTAGACAAACAGGATATTGAGGAGTTACTGCAGGTTTCTGGTGAGAGCCTTACCAATGACGACTTTCAAGAATTGGCAGAACAAGGAATTCATGTAGAACTGGAAAATAGTGATTCTGCAAACAAAGAACCCAAAGAATTTCTCTACAGATTTCCTTAGTAAGTTTGGTAACGATAACAAAAATTGTTGATCAAATTATAGTGAATGATCCAGATTTTGAAAGGAGTGCAAAAACAAAACAAGGCATTTTGGATGCAATCTTCTGCTACTGACATTTGCTTCAGGAAAGAAAAAAAGCAAAAAATGAAACTACATGACTTTATTGCAAAAAACAAGAATTTCAGAAGAGCCAAGACCTTCATCACAAAAAATGAACTTTACATTTTTGTGTGCATATGTTTGTGATATTTAACATAACACAATTTACTTGGATATAAGATGAGCTTTTTATTCATTTATCACAGCTTCAAATTCCTAGGTCATCCTATACGCGCGAGTGAAGGATTTTTTGCATTTTTGCAATAATTTTTGTAGTCCATGTACTGTATTCGCATTTTTTACTGGATGCTCACCATCTGGTGTTAAAAAAAAAATATTTTATCTGGGTCGTTTCAATCGTTCTTGTGTATTGTAGGAGTAAAGATGAATAGCAATAGGAAAAGCAAACCTTTTGAATTGAATTCCAATTTGAAATTCGAAAATCACACAGGAGCCCGATATAAGTTTTAAACCATTCCCATGTGAAAACAGATGATTATTCGGAAATCAGAATTTGGAGAAACTCATAAGTGTAATCGACGGAGAGCAGATTCGACTGTTAAAAATTAACGAAAAAAGGTTCCCAATTGTCCAGCTTTACATAAACAAATTATGTTGTCGTTTTACAATATTTTTCATTGAAGTTTAAAATGCCAGTAATTTTTGCGGAACAATGTGTGCATTTACGTGCATTTGGACTTTACTTGTGATTACATGAAATAAAATTAGAATTGTATTACTAAATTAATTTTTTTTATTGATATCTTTAAAGTCACACCACATCCTATATGCAAGGTCGTCTTATATTTGAGTAAATACAGTATATTATTATGCAAATCAATATAAAAATAACTTAAAATTAAAGTAAAATTTGTTTATTTTTGATTGCATGTTCCCCTTTCCCTATTTACTCTGTGTTAAAATGGCCTCGTTTAACGCTTTTTCATTTAGCACTTTGTCATCTAGGATTGCATCCCCCATGTTAAGCAGAATCTTACTGTATATATGATATGAGGTATTTTATGAAAAGAACTGTGCAGCTTAGCTTCATAAGATGTTTTCTTGGTTGGTTGAAAAAACAAAAGCAAAGGGAGAAAAGTAGGCCTAATTATAAGTATTTCAACTGCTTATGATGCCATATCTCCAGCAAGTTGATCAGTACTTAAAAATCTTGTCAGCTTCAATCACAACAAAATTAGATTTTGTAATTTGATCTGAAATTTTCTTCTCTGACTTGTAATGTAGCCTCTTAGAGATTATTTTGAATCATGTTTAAGGTTCCTTTAAATGCATTGGCATTTTTTAAAATAAGTCAATAAAACTGAATCTAATTCAAATGTAAAGTTAACTAAATCTCGGAATATGTCTTGATTCTGTGATGTATCACTTTCATCATATCCATGTTGCACTAATTCAAAAGCTCCACAAAACTTAATACACCATCAAAACAACTTCTTTATGAAAACTCAATACTTTTTATTAAAATGCTATAATATACCATATTTACTCGAGTATAAGATGATCTCATGTATAGGACGAGGTGTGACTTTAGAGATCAAAATAATAAAAAATAGATTTATTAATGCAATTCTAATTTTATTTTGTTTAATCATAAAATATTATCAAATTCACGTATTAAGGCAAACAACCATGTTTGCCTTAATACGTGATGAATTGAAAACAAAACTAAAACATTATTGCATGATTGGAAAAAGTTTATTTTTAATGATTCAGAATGTGCTAATATTCATTAAAAATAACAATTTAACTAATATAAAATAACTACATTTATAATCATTGCTAAGTGACCCGTGTTTCATTTTTGTAAATGTTTTTATAAATAATGAGAAACTATTTTCTGCAAACAAATGAAATGCAACACAGGTTTTAATTGATGGATGTAGGATTAAACCAACAAACAAAGGGGTGTGTGTCTTAATTTGTTTATGATAGGTGCCAACTTATGATAAATGACTGTAGACCTATAAAGATAGCAAGAAGTATACATGGTTCACAGAAATTATTGCAAAAACACAAAGAATCCTTTATTTACACATATAGCATGAGTTAGGTTTTTGAAGCAGTGAAAAATGAATAAAAACCTCATCTTATATGCGAGTAAATATGGTATGTCAATTTTTATCCACCTTTTTCTTGTAAGCAGAAATATTTTCAAGATATGCCCTGTTTACGGTTTACAAATGTTGTCTTTACATAAAATATTGTAGTTGACTGAATATGTGTTTTAAGTAATTTTTTTGAAATTATAGTTAACTCCAGCTAAATTTTGAATAAGCCAGAATATTGTATCTTTAAGATTTTAATTTGTATATAAATTTATTTTAAGGAAATGAATGAGGATATCTCAAGAAGAGGTTATATCAAAAAAATTACAGACAGAGGTCAAATACCTGAAGGTGGTATACGTTTGACTGAGAAAGAGGCATTGAAAACACAACTAGATTTATTATATAATTGGAAAAACAAAAGTGAAATGTAAAATTTTATTAAATGTTCTATTATTAAATAAAATTAATTTATTATTTTACAATTTAATATATATTATTTCATTATAGTTGGCCCTTTGAATTTGGACATTTTGTTTTGGCAGCTGCAGCAGGACTTGGTGGATTGGGATTTAATTTTTTTTATAGACAAAAACTTAATTTAGGATCTCTGGTATGATACATTCATTCAATAATTGGAATTTTTAAAATATAATATATATAAATTTTGATATAAACAGCCGAAGCGTACTCAGCAGAAAATAATAACTTAATCAACACCTGATCATGCTGAGAAATTTATTAATAAAACAAATGTTTTCAATCCAATCAATGGATCATCCTCAGGTTATATGGAACATTTCAAAAAATAGAACAAGAAGTTCAAAATACAAAATATAAATATTAATAACCATTAACATATATGCTATTAATAGCCAAAAAAAGTTTGTAAATAATAAAATTAATACAAATGCTGCTAATACTAAAAATAAAATAAAAATAGTCAAAAATAACAAACAAATTGTGAATACTAAATGTTACTACCTCTAACTTAATAGACAAACTGTTAATACTAAATATTATTATTGCTTACTTAACTATACTGAGTTTTTCTACTTAACTATACAGAGTTTTTACTACAAATATTATTAAAGTTCCTGTTCTTATTTTAAGTTTTTAATTGCAAACTTCCAGATGGAAGGAAGTCCCTCTGCATCTCTTGCGTTGATGCAATTTCCTTTAAATTTGCTTCTATAAATTTCTAACTTTTCAGTCATTCTTGCCAAAGTCGGAGAGTGTACCTGTTTCAGGATTTCCGCTTCATCCATCGTAATATTGAACCTTCCGTTTGTGCCATTTGAGCCAATACTGTGGCATTAGAACCTTTTCTAATATCATATCTGTGCTCTTTTATCCTTACACCTAGGTTTCTAGTAGTAACCCCAACATATTCTTTATTTATTCCTAATATGTGATTCTCGTATGGGATCTTATATACACCCGACATATCATTTTTNAGGCTTACAAAAATTAACAAAATATTATCTTTAGTTATATATTTTATAGTTAGTGAGCAAATATACTATGCTGTCAAAAATGTCCTGATATCCGATAACTCCGTATTGTCTCATCCATATGACGTAAATAAGCACTACCAACAATATACGAGGGATGATCAAAAACTAAGGTTACAAAGCCTGCAGTGAAAAGTGTACATTTTATTTCATACAACCAATACAGCCAACTGATAGTACATACATTAGGTTAATTTTTGACATAGTCTCCATATCAGTTTAGGCACTTGTCACTTTGTGTGATGAGTTTGAAAATTCCCTCCTGGTAAAAATCCTGTCCTTGCGTGTTCATGTTCAGCCAAATGTTGCAAAGTGTTTCACTTCCTCATCTGAAGCAAATTGTCGTCCTGCTAGGTTCTGCAAGTGAAGAAACAGGTGAAAGTTGCTTGGAGTGAGGTCCGGTCTGTAGGGAGGGTGGTTGATGATGTCCCAGCGAAACTGCTTCAACAGCGTGGTGGTCTTCTGGGCTGTATGAGGACCTCACTTGGAGTGAGGTCCTCATACAGCCCAGAAGACCATCCTAAATCAATATGGAGACTATGTCAAAAAATAACCTAATGTATGTACTCTCAGTTGGCTGTATTGGTTGTATGAAATAAAATGTACACTTTTCACTGCAGGCTTTGTAACCTTAGTTTTTGATCATCCCTCGTATAAGCAAAAGCAGTGTGTTGTCAGAATGAGTAAATGCAAGAGATGAATACATTTTATAATGGTAACTTTATAGTTGGAGCCCAAGTTTGGTCATTTAGTTTGATAGATTTCCACTACATTGCACATTTCTCAGTCTATTTTCAGTGAGATTATTGTCAAATAGAAACATTATGGAAGCATTGAATCTTTCTGTTAACCTAGAAAGCCCGAGAAACTGACAGATTCAGATTGACAACCTCTCAAGCACGTTGTCAAACAAGCTTGTCAGGCATGTTAGTGACCATCACAAATGACTTCAGTATGAGCTCAGGAACAGATGTCAGTTACAAAACTACAGATGAACACATATTATCCCTAAGGTTTAGAATTTTGGGTGTAGCACCTATTTCATAAAATGATGGGGCATGATGAACTGGCACTAGAAATACATAGAAATTCAATTTTTGGTATAGTAATAGGCTAAAAAAATGCACCCAAATGCACTCAAACTATCCTTTTGTACCTATTTTGTTACTTTGCACCCATTTTTCAATATTTTAAGTATTTTAAAATTTAAACTTGTGCAATGTGTAGGAACAGTAATTTTGCTGAATTCAGAGATTCAACACTGTTATGGTAGAGATTCAACGCTGTTATGCAATTTTGTCCTCTCTATCCCCAACCAATTACAATGTCATTTCTTCGATGAGTTCACTTTTCAAGCAGAGGGTGAGTCCATTTACACATGCTGAACATTCTAGAAGAATTGCTTGAGTTTGTTATCCAGGAAGCTAGTAATTTAAGCATGGTGAATTTCATATAAAAAGGGAAAGTTTCTGCATATAAGTTATATTCAGCTTTCATAAAATTTAATGGTCAAGGAATATGAACAGATAGAATAAGATTTGATGTTTGTGAAACAATAATAACTATGGATGAAAAACATCTGTCTTTGCAAATTGATTATCACACGAAGAACCCAAACATTCCCTGAAAAAGAGCTGTAGACAAAGCAAAATCTGCTAACAGTTTAATCGAGATTTAACAAATGCATATCTAGAGGAAAACATTCCTCTCAATAACATGAACCACCCATTGTTTAAGGTATTTCTGGAAAAACATACATCCTGACATGCCAGATGAAAATATGCTAAGGAAGGAATAACTTGGATGCAAGATAGGTTGAAACCATACAGATAATATGAAAAGTTTTAGACCACCACATTGTGTTTCTTGTGGAGGAAACAACTGACTCTGCAAAAAGATGTGTACTTAACATACAGGAGGTTCAGTCACTAACTGGAGATCCAGTTCCATCAATGCTTCTTAAGCTTTACAACCCAGGGAAAACCAATCACTTATATATTATGCAAAGTTTTATGCATACATGCACAAAGTTATGGCTTTCTGGATTCAAGTATGAAAAAGTTTGGGTGATAGTAACAGATCAAGCATCTTACATGGTAGCAGCATTCAACATGAAACATGTCACATGCATTGCACATGCACTGCATCATCTGTGTAACACTGTCTGACTGGAATATTCTATTGCAAATGAGTTCATTTCAAATACAAAAAAACTTATGGAAGGCACCAGCAAGAATTCAGTTGTACTGTGAAATCACAGGACTATCATTACTACCAGAGCCTGTAATCAACCAGGTGGGGTATGGATTGAGACAGCTGTTTTCTATTGTGAGAACTACAGGAATTCAGATAACAGAATTCATTTTAAGTTTAGATGATTCTGATTCTGAAGCTGTAAAGAAAGTCAAAGAAATTATATAGCACTAGCAGACCCCACCACGCGTTGTTGTGGCTCAAAATGTATCTATTATAAATGTATAACACTTTCCCTGTGGGGGGGAAATTTTTCGAAAAATTTCTTCTTAGTGTACATTCTCTTGATGTACCCTATTAAAACACAAAAACCCGCATCTAAAATAGTATAATAGAAGCCAAGTTCTTCATGGTAAGCCTTAATCCTGTCCCTCTCCCCTGCAGAGGGAATATCAAAAAATCCCTTCTTAGTGTACATTCTGTTGACGTACCCTATTAAAACACAATCAAAAATGCAAAAAACCGCATTTAAAATAGTATAAATAGAAGCAGAGTTCTGTACGGTAAGCCTTAATCTTAACCATCTTTCTTCAGTGAGGGAATTTCGACATGTATATTATATAAAAACACATGTGTATTCGAATGCAGCGTTGTGTCAAAATTTCAAAGGAATCGATAGGAACAAACGAACATTACATTTTTATTTATATAGATAGATAGAAGATGATCTGCTTTAGTTCATTTTCACAGAAAAGCAAACTTAGGGCATAGTACTTGTAGTGCCATCTGTTGACATAAAAGCCTTAACCCTAGATGATATCTTTTAATTTATATGAATGTTTAACAGAATAATATACAGCCTATGTCCACCCTGAAGTTCCATTCTAAATATTGGTGAAAGAATTTTTGAAATTGGATGAGTAGTTTCGGAGATTACCCACTACATCCAAACTTACTTACTTATTTACTTACAAACATTACCTCTTTATAATATTAGTATAGATATAGACAAGGATATGGAAAAGAAACTATTCACTGTGCACAGCTTCAAATCTTTAACAGAAACTATACAGAGGCTAGAAACCAAAAATCTGTTTAAAGATGATCAATGGAATTCCAAATTAGCATAAATATTTTTAAAAAAATAAATTCAAAGAGCAAATTTGGATTTTATGATATGAAAATAACATAAATCTGTAGGAAAAAAAGAATGGCCCAGGAGACATGAAACAGTTTTTAAATGGTAGCAGTTAGTGTGTTAAACTAAGAATTAATCTCCACTGCTTAGAATGATTGGAGATAGTTCAATCTTTAACAGCTAAAAAAACAAAGTACAGGTATACTTTTTCACGCAGAGCACAGTGCAATTTCATCAGTTGTTGGTGGTAGCGGTGAGCATTGACAGTTTCACCAGGTTTCAACAGCTCATAGTAGACAATACCCTGCTGATCCCACCAAACGCACAGCATTGTCTTCCGTCCAAAGTGATTTGGTCTTGGGAAAGATGTTGATTGTTTGCCTGGATTAACCCATGATTTCTTGCATTTAGGATCTCAAAATATATCCATTTCTCATCGGCAGTTACAATCCGATGCAGAAACGACTTTCTTTTTTGTCTGGCGAGCAAGATTTTGCATATGTTTTGGCGTCTCTCCATCTGCCTATTGTTCAATTCATGCGGCACCCATTTTCTGATCTTCTGAATCTTTCCCATGGCACGTAGACACGTGGAAATGGCTGGTTGAGTAACACCCAATTGCTCGGCAAGCATTTTTTGCAATTGGGTATTGTCCTCATCCAAAAGATCCTGCAGTTGATGGTCCTCAACCTTCCTGGGCCGATTTTCACGCTTCTTGTCGCTCAGGTAAAAATTTCCATCTTTGAACTGACAAAACCAATCTCTGCA